CTCTCTCTCTCTCTCTCTTTCTCTGTCTCTCTTTTCCTCCCTCAAACACACATACACACATACACACACACACACACACACACACACACATCATAACTAACACAGAAGATAAAGGAGGTGACAATGTATTCAACTACCATGATATCCAAAAGCCCAGAGCCAAAAGAGATCAAGTGCTAAAACTTTTACAGAAACAGAATTAAATATTATCCATGCAGAGTGAACCAGTAAGTCATCCAGATGTTTCCAGCCGGATATTTGGTATACTGTGAAAAGATACCATTTGACTCACTTTTTCCCACATTGTAGGCAGCTGTTAATAGTAGCAATTCCAAGACAATTTAGTAACTATACTTTGAACCATAAAATTATAAATCTCAGTACATCCTGCCCCATCACACTTGTCTTTAGTATTGCAACAAATAATTTTTTATTTAGATTTCCTCAATAAATTTTTTGTTGTTGTTGCTACTATTGTTTTCTTACCTGATCTTCTCTTTGCATATCTTTCTTTTCAACTTTGTCCTAAGGGGGAAAAAACCAAGACAATTTAATGGAGCATATACAGTCAAAAAGAGGAAGCTGTATTTTAAAGAGAAGTTAAGCTGTTAGTAAAAGTAAAGATAAGGTGAACTATAATTTATGTTCAGTGAGCTTCAACTCTACTTCTATGAGAATTAAGCTTAAATGCATGACATACTAGTATTTTAGTGCAGTTATTTAATTATCTACAAGTTGTATTTACATCCAACCAACATATCTATATCTCACAAAATATTTATGTTTGGAGACACTTTGTAAAACAGCTCTTTAAGATAAAAAGAAATTCCAATTTCTTAAGCTTCTGGCATCTCTCCCATAAGATTACTGACCGTCCTTCTAAAATAATATGTTAAGTATTTAGTTTCCACCCCCATGCCCTAAGAAAAAAATCACCTGAGTCTGAAGACTTGCACTCTTGGCAATTTCATTTCTCAGAAAAGAAAAACATGATAAGAACAGTTTATCTGGTCCAAATTTTGAGCAAAAAATAGCTATTTATGAAACCTAGAAGCCTTGGGAAAAAGTGACCATGTCATATCATCTTATAGTTAGTAAGTAGTAATGAAGGAAGGGAATGGTAGGCATAGTCAGACACATGTCTTGCTATTAATAGAATGACATTTCCAAGCAGCTGTCCGAATAGTTCAAGTCCCCCATTATAACTGTAACTTACCTCAGAGTCAATATAAAAAACCAACCAGCTAACAATTCTGGAATTTAAATAATGACGAATGAACTTGAGGAAATTCCTGCTCTATAGGCTACTTTAGTGATAAACTGCCTAGAGTGAGAGAATAACACAATTTCCTTAACTTTTGTTTTACCATGCAGTCAGCCATTGTTGAACCCAGATATCTATTCAAACAGTGGCCAAGACATTAGTTTTTTATATTACACATCTTTAGTCCTTATATTTAACTTTAGTTTCTATTAAGAGTAGAAAAATGAGATTGTAGAAGAAAGACCAAAAGATAGCATTATTTGGATTTCTCAGCTTTATAATTATGTAAGGTTTCCCTCTTGGAAAATTAAAGAATAGAAGGAAAGGAAGATGACCTTTAATTGCAAATATATATTGATGATAAGTCATAACAAGAACTATAAAAACTGACAGATATGAAAATAAGTTGTGTTGGCTTTCTTCACAGGACAGAGAACCATTCATTTATTTCTGGGTAAAAAGGAAGACGACTGAAATAATTGAACACTGAATTTAGTTCATCTTCAATATAATTATAATGAAGAATGAATAGAAGATAGAAAAAGTGGTAAAGTAATAATGTTTTAGAACATAGAATTAGTTAGCCAATACTATGATGCCACAGAAAGCAGAGCAAGACTCTGTCTGGTTTACATTCATAAGCAGTACCAGTTATTTTCATATCTAGGTATTTTCTCATTCCCACTATAATTAAAGAAATTTAATTTTAATACAAGTTCCTCAAATTTTGTTATCCATTAACACGTTGTTCTGGGGCATGTAGTAAATAAATTGAGTTTTTTTTCCCCTTTCTATTTGTTGTTTAGAGCTATTGAAGTCAAACTTCCTTATACTGGGAAAGGAGCAGAAATAAAGGACATTTTAATGAAAAGTTTGCACATCCCAGAAAGGTTTCTATTTCTGAGATGAGAGATAAAGATTTTGAATTTTTTTTCTTAGATAATCTCCAAGGAAGTTCGTTGCAGGTAAAATTAACTTGAATGAGTTAAGTCTTGAAACCGAAATCAGTTAATGATCTTTCCTTCTGACTGTTGAGCAGTAAACCATCTGCTTTGTCATCATGTAAATCACATTCCATTCTGTTAACATGGTTACAACTTACCACCATTTGTTATAGCAACATGGGACTAAGGAGCAACTGGATGTATTTTGAAAGGAAGCTGTACAGTAATCTCTATATTTCCCAGGTTTAAAGCAAGGAACAACAGTCTGAGTGTCTGAAAACACTGTCTGCCTGTCTGATTTTACTGGAATTTTTTAGTATGCATTATGAATTAGTTCCACCATGGAAGTAAAGGTGTAGACATCTTTACATCCTTCTACTCAACATTTCAAGAGGAGTCCTATAGGAAAATAAAATAAATTTTCAAATGTCTAGTATTCTATTCCAAACTTCAAAGTACATGTGATTTTATATAAAACCAAGCAACAGTGGCATAAGGAAGGCAAGAGTGTTTTTTCTTCTGTTTCTCAATTTCTCAGATACAAGAAAATATTCCATAAAATAAACTTTAACCCACACTTGATGACATATTCTATAATGAAAAGTTGGATAGAGGAAATAACTTAGAATGATGGATTCTGCCCTAGATTTAAGCATAAGCTAGATAAACAAGCTAAATTCAGAAAAGAACATAGAAATAAATTAATTTTCCATATGATAAAAGGACAAACTTATTTGGATTATATGTAATTTTTGAAACATGATTATCATTATTCCTTCTATTTTTTCCATTTTTGAAAAATTTATATCCTATTGATTATTTCCCAACTGCTCTTTTTCTATAATAAGGATCAATTGTAAATCTTTGGAAAGGCTTTCCAAACTCTATAAATGGCACTGATAGTAATTACGGTTATCTGTGATACTAAAAGGACATATTAGAGAGCTATAGTTCAATGAATTCCTATTACTTGATTCTAGACACAGAAACTTCCCTACTCCTCTGAGGGACATAAATCCTTGCATTCACGAAGCTGAATTTCTGTTTATAATGATATTAACTTATCATGTTTGTCAGTAATTATCTTTACATAACTTAAACCTTAATTATATTAAATACGATTTTCATTTATTTACTGCCAAATGAATGAACCTATCTATAAATATCTATAACATCAATAATCTGTTTCCTTTGGTATTGTTCTTGCCTGGTACTGGTCTTTGTAATTAACTCAGAGAGATGAGAAAACCCAGGTGCAAAAAAGATCTACCGAAGACAGATTTTCAACTTCATGCTTTGATGAAAAATCTATTGAGTACTTCCTCACTGCATGGGGATATGCAGTTTAAAAAATATAATTATACATTGTCATCTTCCACCAAATATTTCTCTGTCTTTCTAGAAAAGAGAGACCTTTCACCAGGGCCATAAATGTCCTACTGAGCTTTCTAATAAAACATGATACTACTTTCTCAATCAAGGAAAGATGAATATGGGTAAGTATAAAAATTCAACAATTGTTTTCTTCTTGCTTAGCTGATTTAAAATATGCTAACTGGGGCGCCTGAGTGGCTCAGTCATTAAGCGTCTGCCTTTGGCTCAGGTCATGATCCCAGGGTCCTGGGATAGAGCCCCGCATCAGGTTCCCTGCTCAGCAGGAAGCCTGCTTCTCCCTCTCCCACTCCCTCTCTGCTTGTGTTCCCTTTCTCACTGTCTCTCTCTCTCTCTGTCAAATGAGTAAATAAAAATCTTTAAAAGTAAATGAATAAATAAATAAATGCTAATTGGATAATAGCAATAGCCCATGAAGCAAATGGTATATTTAAGAAGGGCCCAACAAAAGTAATACAGATAAGTTTGTTATGTTTGGTTAACTTATTTCTCTTTATCAAACAATTAATTTTTAATGTATGAAAATAGTTTGCCTCAAACTTTACTACCCATAAGACTATAATAGAATTTCTTTTACCTCTTTGGTAATATTTTACCTTGCTGACGTTGCCCTCCTCAGATATATATCTCCCTTAACTGCTGGTGATTTCCTCGCTCTTTTGATAGCCTCTAGATCCCTCTCATTCATTCTCGCCTTTGCCCACCTTCTTTTCTTCTCTGGTATCTTCTTTGAGTGTAACAATACTGAGCCAGACAATCTGAACTTTAAACCCATCTCCATCATTTATTCATTAAGCAATCATGGAGCAAAACAAACTCTATGACTCTCAGTTTCTTCATCTATAAAACAAGCATGACAGCAGTTATCCATAATGTTCTTTTTTTTAAAAAACTCATCCTTTAAAAATATCTATTTCGTATGTGTTTTAGACTGCCTGACATTCTTTTCTTACCTCTCAGTTGTTAAAATCAGAATAGAATACAGAATGGTACTTTATAAATTATTCCTGCTACATACAGTCAAGTTAAAAGTCAATAATAATATGAAGTAAAGTTAAAGTCAATAATATTATATTAAGATTACTACTTCAAAATCTTCAAATCGAGCTTTCTTTTCTTCTCCAACATTTCCCAAGATTTCCACTATCACCTGACGTTGTGTTAGCCTTCAAAACTGTATCTCTATATCTGAATTCCCACCCTCTAACCACACATAAACCATATTTTAAATCTAGAAAATTATAATAGAGAGTGTTAAAACTGATAATTTTATACCATACTTTATATCTACACTTCTTTAAGATTTTATTTATTTGACAGAGAGAGAAAGATCACAAGTAGGCAGAGAGGCAGGCAGAGAGAGAGGGGGAAGCAGGCTCCCTGCTGAGCAGAGAGTGCAATGTGGGGCTCTATCCCAGGACCCTGAGATCATGACCTGAGCCAAAGGCAGAGGCTTAACCCACTGAGTCACACAGGCACCCCTTTATCTACACTTTTAATTTTATCTTTTATCTTATATTTAAAATCTATATGCATGTGATCCATGTAGCTACTTTCTACTTGATATTAAAGAAATTATGATGGATTTCTATTAAATATATGTCAAGAAGAATAGTTATATTTTACAATTGCTGATGTCTTCTCTCATTTTTCAAGTTTCATCCCTCCGTGAAAGCACAGAAATAAGATAAATACAGTCCTCTTTACTAAGAAATCATTTGTTATTCAGATCCTGTCTCCTCACTACTTTTTCTGTTTATTTCCAGGTCATACTTTTTGAGCATTTTTCTTCTAATGGGCTTAGCATTTATTCCACACTGGAAGTCCCAGATATCCAGTTAAAATATGATGATATATGTAAGATAGGATATGATATGATATGATATGATATGATATATGATACTTGGCTAATTTTCAGAATTTGAGTCAAAAGCAGCTTTACCAAAAGTCATTACTCAAACAGCTATATGAAAACTTATCTATTACCTTTAGGAACATGTGTCCCTTTTCAGTTTGATCTTTCAAAATATTATCACAACCTGTACCTTAGGGACCATATAAACTTATAAAATACCACATTACATTGATTGGAGAAGACAAATTTATTTTTGAATTCTAAAATTTCCTAAATCAGGATGTGATTGTTTATACATGTGGGAAGAAATCATTGGACTAGCTCAGTTGGTTGCTTTTTTTTTTCTTTCAAAGGGGTAAATGAAATAATAGCACACTTCAATGACTGCATCTTAAACTCAATGAAATATTTTTATTCAGACAGATCCCAGAAGATAAACATGGTCAGGAAACATTTAGAGGGTATAAGTTTTTAAGATCTTCAGGTTCATATATACCTCAGTAATTTGACTGAAATACTGACACATTACAAATCTTTTCTTTTCCCTTTTAATCAAAAGGATATCCTTTAGAACATGCTGTGAAGGATGGGTAACATGGTTACATAATCACAAGAATTTATGAAATTATCTAAGAATAGAAACCGTTCTGATGCCAAGATATTCTAGAGAATGGCTAGCCAGTTAAGAGAAATTGATATTATTGGAGTTTTCCCCCTATCAAATATTTCTTTTTTGTCCATCCAATATTTTTAAATGGTATTCTACTCTATAGGGAAAAACTACTTGACCTCTTAACATAATCAATAGTCTCCAATATGTCTTCCATATAGAAATAAACTTGTATTTAAATTGTATGGATGGGGGGTTATGGACATTGGGTAGGGTATGTGCTATGGTGAGTGCTGTGAAGTTTGTAAACGTGGAGATTCACAGACCTGTACCCCTGGGGGAAAAATATATATATATATATATATGTTTATAAAAAATAAAATTATATAAAAAAAATTAAAAAAAAAGAATAAATTGTATGGATGACTGTTAAAATTAAACCTTTTTAGGACTGACACACTAAATTTGTTTAGTCAGTATATAAGGGTTCTCATGGTGTTTATTAGTAAGTAGTCTCAATTGAATACCTAACTTAATGGGATATAAAGTGTAATCAAATACACATATTGTCATACTACTGTAATGACTAAGATGGAAAAGATACCCAAGAGGTACTTCAAAAAGGAGTACACAGCATCCCATTGCAAAAATGAGTGAGGACCTGAATAGGCATTTTTCCAAAGAAGATATACAAATGGACAAAAGACACATGAAAAAAATACTCAACATTACTAATTATCACAGAAATGCAAATCAAAAACCCAACAAGATAGCACCACACAGCTGTCAAAATGGCTGAAATCAAAAAGACAAGAAATAACAAGTATTGGTGAAGGTGTGGAGGAAAAGGAACTCCTGAGAAGTATTGGTGGGAATATAAATTGGTACAGCCACTGTGGAAAACAATGTGGAGGTTGCTCAAAAAATTACAAATAGAAATACCATACGATCCAATAATGCCACTAGTGGGTATTTACCCAATGAAAATGAAAATACTACTTCAAAAATATATATGCAACTCTATGTTTACTATAACATTATTTACAATAGCTAAGGTATGGAAACAACCTAACTGTCCACTGCTGGCTGAATGGATAAAGAAGTGGTATATACATGCAATGGAATATTATGCAGGAACAAAAAGGATGAAAGCTTGTCCTTTGCAGCAATATGGATGGATCTAGAGGCTTTTATGCTGAGTGAAATTGGTCAGACTGAGAAAAAATAGTTTTCAAGCCTATCAAATGAAAATGTGGAAAATGAAACTCATTAGACAAAATTAGGCATATGACATTTCTTGAATTTCTCAAGTAACTGAAGGTCCTCAATCAATATTTGTTGAGTAGATAGATGGATTTTGATCACAGCCCTGAAATAAGGAAAAACTCCACGTTTTCTTCATCTTTGTTAAACAGTGCCAGGTATATTCTTTGTATTTATTATTGAGTTGTGGGTTGACTTAGCTATTATATAAAGTGACAATTCTATTTCTAGATGCAGAGACATCTGTCGAGAATATTGTGTCTGGCCCTGATAACCCCTTACCATTCTTCAATTCATTTTGAGCCACGGTAGATACAGCAGTCTTCTCAATCCTTTGATCTTATAAAAATTTGTAAATTTATTTCCTAGAATCTCCATGTCTGACTTTCAATTCTGGGAAGCAGAATACCCTTGAGTTTAGGCAGAATATCCTTGACTTTTCCCAAGAATGATGGGACACATTATCCTCAAGGCAGAACAAGAAACAACAATCACTTCAGACAGTGCCATGATTCAAATATAGGATTAAGAAGGGCCCACAAATTTTAAGTACAGTAATGAAAAACCATATCAATCATAAATACTTTTGAGTTGAAAGACAAAACTGCAATTCACTGTAAAGAATATAGTATCAGACAGAAGCACAATCTTCAATTATTACTAGTTATTTAGAAAGAAAGGCAATATAGAACAGTGTTATATTCACCTTTTCACAAATATTAGCAACTGCTTTCAATATGATGTCCTGGTGGTCAGTCCGGGTTATGCTAAGATCACTAAGTTGTTGCCGGGTGATATTAAGTAGTTTCTCTCCATTGATTTCTGCTCTTTCAAAATTTTCTCCATAGACTGGAAAAGTACAATCCAATCCTGAAAAAGACAAAAGAGGTAGAGATTTCAAGGAAAATAAAGTCTGTGCCTCCTTGTAAAGATAACTATATGCTTCTATAGTATAGAATTACTTGTGAAAATAAAATAAAATAAATTAAATTTTTTTAGAAACAGAATTACTTGTGGATTTTTATCATTATCAATGAGCTATTTACTGTTTTTATTCCAACAGTCCACCTTAAGTGCAGTATCTTTAGTTAGGCTTAGGAAGACAAATTTTTGTAGATGCTTACAGAAATGCTTAAGTAAAAAATTTAATTAATAAATTAATTAAATATTGTTATAAGTATAAAATTTAATTAACAAGAGACCCAGTTAAAGTCATAGATTATAACTGAAAGCATATTTACAATGTTATAATAATATCTAAGATGGACTTAATTGAACTGAGATAAAATGTGCTTTTTGATTTGTGATTGCTTTCACATTTGGAATTTTATCAATTAAGAATCTATAAATTAATATATGTGAACTATTTTGGGTGGATATAATCTCTTGGGTAAACTGCTTCATAACTATAATTAAAATAGAAAAAAAACCAAAATATTCAGATATATATTTTAGTGAACTTCTGCCATATCTTTAGCTTTATTTAGAAAGAAGTAATTAGAGGATCCAAAAGTAACATGATATATTACATGATGGTGAAAAATTAATATAATCTGACATAAAAGTAGGTTGAGCTATGATAACTAAATGTCTCAGAAGACTAAATAAATTATCATTCTTCTTTGGTTATACATAATAAGAGTAGGAGTACATTGGAAATGGTCAAAACTTAACTTATTATTTTTTTGAAATTTGATGTTGAACTTCCTTGTGAAAGTGAGTGTGGCTAAAATCCTGGAAACTAATGTTATAAGTTGATTAATATAGATCCCATTACTTTGTTTTTTCAAAAATAATTAACTTAGGAGAATGTTTACCTTTATAATATCTTTAGATAATTTGATAATTAGATAATATAAATATTTCATGAGGAATACTTAAACTGCTTTTTAAACTTACCAAGTACTTTGCAAATATATACTTCATTGTACTTATATGTTAATTAAATAATATTGCATTTTTATTTATTAAAACAAGTCTTATTAATGACTGCTATTAAATTTACTTTGTTTCTTTTTATTTATTTATTTTCATTTGAGTATATTTGACACACAAAGTTACATTAGTTTCTGTTGTACAACTTAGTAATTTGACAAGTTTATACATTTTGCTATGTTTACCACAAGTACAGATATCATCTGTCCCATTACATCACTATTACAATATCACTGACTGTATTTCACATGCTTTGTTTATTTTCATGACTTACTCATTCCATAACTGGAGGCCTGTATCTCCTTCTCCTCACCCACCTTATCCAACCCCTCCACACCCTTCCCCTCTAGCAACCATCAATTTTTTTCCTCTGTTTTTATAGTTCTGATTCTGTTCTTTGTTTCTTTATTCATTTTCTTTTAAATTCCATGAGTGGAATCATATGGTATTTGTCTTTCTCAGTCTGACTTATTTCACTTGGCATAATACCCTCTAGGTCCATCCATGTTGTCTCAAACAGCACTGTCTCATCTTTTTATGGCTGTGTAATATTCCATTATACTTATTTTATATATATGTATATATATACATGCATCAACACATATATATATATGTACACATTTTTCTTATCCATCTTATACATTATATGACATAACACTGTATATAATACATAATAATATACATTACCTATATTATATATATTTATTCCTACTACATTTTCCTTATCCATTCATCTATTGATGGACATTTAAGTTGCTTCCACGTCTTAGCTATTGTAAGGAATGCTTCAATAAACACAAGGGTGCATAAATACCCAAGAGTGGAGTTATTGAATCATATAGCATTTCTATTTTTAGTTTTTTGAGGACCCTCTATACTGCTTCCCATAGTGGCTATACCAATTTACATTCCTGCCAACAATGCACAAGAGTTCCTTTTTCTCCATATCTTCACCAACACTTGATGTTTTTTGTCTTCTTGATTTTAGCCATTTTATAGGTGTGAGGTGATATTTCACTGTGGTTTCAATTTGCATTTCTGTGATTAGTGGTGTTGAGCATGTTTTCATATGTGTGTTGGCCACCTGATGTCTTTGTTAGAAAAATAATTATTCAGGTCCTCTGCCCATTTTTATTTTTTTAAGTTTTTTTCTGCCCATTTTTAAAAATTTCTTTTCAGCGTAACATTATTCATTGTTTTTCACCACACCCAGTGCTCCATGCAATCCGTGCCCTCTCCAATACCCACCACCTGGTTCCCCCAACCTTCCACCCCCCGCCCCTTCAAAACCCTCAGATTGTTTTTCAGAGTCCATAGTCTCTCATGGTTCACCTCCCCTTCCAATTTCCCTCAACTCCCTTCTCCTCTCCATCTCCTCTTGTCCTCCATGCTATTTGTTATGCTCCACAAATAAGTGAAACCATATGATAATTGACTCTCTCTGCTTGACTTATTTCACTCAGCATAATCTGCCCATTTTTTAATCAGGTTTTTTGTTTGTTTGTTTTTTTTTTTTTTTGGTGCTTGTTGGTTACGTTCTTATTACAATCTGCCCTTAAAGCTGTAAAACTATATTTCTTTTATTTTAAATATTTTTATAAGATTTTATTTATTTATTCATGAGAGACAGAAAGACAATGGCAGAGGCAGAGGGAGAAGCAGACTCTCCATGGAGTAGGGAGCCCAATGCAGGACTCGATTCCAGGACCCTGGGATCATGACCTGAGCCGAAGGCAGTTGCTCAACTGACCGAGCCACCCAGGTGCCCCTATTTTAAATTTTTATAATTCTCAATCCCACATATTTAGAATGGCCTTATCCTTGATTACTCATAAATTAGTAGTTTCTCATTGCATTCACAAATTTAAAAAGTAAAGCCACCTGGAATAACTCAACTTCTATCAGTTTATTTATTCAGATTTCTCACTTCCCTCCCTTGGAGCTTTATAATAGAGAATACTTCTCTGCTCCATGCTATAAAATAATCAGTAATGTTATTCAGAGAGTTACAAAGTACCTACCTAAACTTGGGTGTATTTCTCTCAACTTATTTTTCAAGTTTATAACTTCCTTTCATTAGGTAAAGAGAATCAAGTATTTGATTTATGAGAGTACATATTATATGAATGGCTAAAAGTAAATTAAAAAAGAGGAGAAATTATCTTCTTCCCACTGGATATTGTTTCCTGTCTTGTTGAAGATTAATTCATCATATATTAGTGGGTTCATTTCTGGGTTTTCTATTCTATTCCATTGATCTATGTGTCTATTTTTTGTGCTAGTACTATACTCTTTTGATCACAACAGTTTTGTAATATAATTTGAATTCCGCAATTGTGATGCCTCCAGCTTTGTTTTTGTTTTTCAAAGTTTGCTTTGGCTATTTGGTGAAGCTGTGTAACTATGTCAAAATAAATTTGAAAGCTCAATTTCTAAAGGTACTCTTCTTATTATAGAAGAGTTTACAGTACTTGTTACATTTGCTAAATATGATTTAAAAAATAAGCAGATTTGTATGGGTCAGTTTTTATGCTAGGAATTGGCTAGGAGAAAATTATATATAGTTTTATCCAATAGGATAATGTATAAAAGTCTTATGGATGATGCTCCTATGTACCTGAAACTTTACTCAGGAAATATATTTAAATGTTGAATGACTTATCAGGATTTTATCTTTACTCTTCATGTGTGTATGGTGAATGAATAATAATGCCTTGACTATTTCACACAGCCCAGGGCCACATTCTGTTTTATAAACTGCAACAGGTACTTGCACTAAAATGTAATATATTGTCAACAAGACTGTAGAACTAAATTAAAGAATTGTGATATATGCAAATATAATTAAAACAACAGTCTCTAACGATGATTGAGTATCTGATACAGTAAGTGTTAGTTATTTGAGCTTGGTTTCTCTGCCTTTGTTTTTATAAACCTTTTTATTAAAACTTCCTTAGAAAGTATATGGACCAGATAATAAATATGGACCTGAAACCAGCTCTATGGCTTCACCAAGAAATAACCTGCATGCTTTGATTAAGGGATTTTTGATGGAATCCATACATATCATTTTGCTTTCATTTAAACATCGGCCTTTTAAGTCATTAATGTCGTAATTAACAAATTGGTCTGATAAACATATATCAGGTTAAAAGCTTGCTAATCAGAGACATGGTCATTTCTTAAAAGAAGCATAAAGACAGAAGCAGCTAAATGTCATGATGCAAAACAATCCAAGGAGAGATCTAGCAAGCCTAAGAACTGATTAAAATTCCACAACTGGCATGCCGTTTCAAAGCAATACCATCAATGAAAAGCAGAAATCTCATTCTCAGTATCTGGCACACAGTCTTCCAGGTTTGTAAAACTATCTGTATTTTGATATACTTTCACACATTCATGATAGTGATATCCAAATTATTGCCAAGGATAAATTTTATGATTGAATACTAAGTTATCAATCTGAAAATCTGTGACTTTCAAATTGATTTTTATGGCATACACATCCACACCTACCCAGGATTTATTTTTATCCCTTGTCATTTTGTCCCATCAAAGCTTGATATTAACAATATTGATTTACAAGTTTGAGTCACAGTATTATTCTTAAATGTTGTGTATATGTCTGAGTATGTACATGCATGTGCTTATATAAATTTTACATTTTCCCAAATATATCAGTAATTTATACAGTCATGACCCCACTGTATATGTATGGGGATTGACATAAGCCATCAAGATTAGCCTGTGTATTTTGTTTATAAATAAAAATAGCTGGAGCTTTTTTCTTTTAGTTTAAGAAGTTGCAAGGCCCACTGTAATAATAGTAACTAATATTTGCCAGTATTCTAAGCACTTTTTATATGTTAACTCCATTCTCACAACAACTCTATGACATAGGAACTACTATTATATCCACTTTACAGATGTAAAAA